TCCCCCCCCTCACCTGTTTCTTGGCCTCTGCCTCCTGGTCTTTGATGAGAAAGCCGAGAGCGGGCGCGCCAGAGTCGTCCCCCTTCTGGGGGGGTAGCACATCGATGGCGTGTCCCGGGACAACGTCTGCCTCGTCAATGACCTTGGTGAGTGAGCCGGGACCCACGCGCTGTGGTGTCTGGGGGGCCGGGGACACTCCCCGCCGGTCTGACAAACGGGGTTTGGATCGCTTGGGCGTGGCGTCGTCCCCGAAGGACACGAAGAAACCTCCATCTTTGTTTTGGTTGTCGGAGTTTGCTCCATCGCCTACAGCACCAGGGGTCTCATAGTTCGAGTCTACGTCGGCCACAGCATGGTGGGGAGACGGGGGGAACTGGGGCGTGCCAGAACTGTTACTATTATTAGCGTATGGCACTTGTTGCTGGGGGCCCGGGGACGGGCTGCCGGACTGCTGTTGCCGCAGCAATGCCGCGTGCTGTTGGTAGGCGGCCTGCGGCGGGATGCCGTGGATGGGCCGCCCTGAGGCCGACCCTGAGGATGACGAGGAGGAGGAGGGGGGTGGAGGTGTGGCGAGCCCTTCGTTGGAGCCGATCGCAGCCAGAGCATCGCTCATACGGGGCTCGAACCCAGACGGGATCTCGGGGCCGCCACCCTGCGGAGACTGCGCAGCCTTGAGCTGTTCGTGCTGCAGAGACAGCCGCATTATCTCCCCTTGCAGCTCCGTCAGGCTGTTGTTGAGTTTGTCCAGGGAGGAGTCGTACTCCTGGTAGTTCTCCGAGTCACTTTTGGCGTGTGGAGAGGACGACGATTCTCTCGAGGCGGGGCGAGGGGGGCAGGGCACGGGGGCACTCGTCGCTAACTGCGAAGCACCCACCCCCGCCCCTGCCCTCGGAGGCGTTCCCCGATCTCCTCCCGACTGAGGACTAGCAGACGACGCTCGGGAATACCCGCCCGGCCCTCGGGCGAAACCGATATCTCCGTCTAGGACGTCCACGTCCTCCTCACTCCCCGCTCCTCTCATCCCTCCTCCTCCTCCTCCTCCCACTCCTCCCCCACCAGTGATGAGATCATTGTGGAACCAGTTGTTCTTCACCTTGTCGATGGTCTGCTGCATGCCCTCCCGCGAGAATGCCTTGCTCCCAGACGACTTCTGGGACGAGCCTGAGGAATCCGAGCCGGCTTCCGACGGTGCTCGACCGCTGTTCCCATCCGCACCACGGGGTAGCACCATCTGCTGCTGTTGCTGTTGCTGTTGTAGATTCACCGGTCGCTGGGCAGCAGCAGCAGAACTCCCTCCAGCATCCCCACCACCACCACCATCACCACCACCGCCCCGGTCGCCCGAGACAGCTCTGGACAGCTGTGACTGCGTCCTCCAGTCCGTGAAGCGATTGGCCGAGGTGTCCGCTGCGATGGCCGCCCCCTGACCTCTGAGCTGGGCCGCCGTGGCGTGGGTCTGTGGCTGGTTGTGATGGCCCCTG